TTTTTTTTTTTTTTTTTTTTTTTTTTTTTTTTTTTTTTTTTTTTGTAAACATTCAACTTGGAGAAAGTCTCTACACCTCAAAACAGAATTCAAGTTAACATCTCAACTACTACTGTGCTCAGAGCACAGATCCTCCATACACTGTGCATGAATTCTTTCTACTTAGAGAGGAAGGATCACAGAGCTTGGACAGCAAAGGACAGAGTAAATCCACAGCCAGCCACCCATATTCACAGCATATATGCCCTGAAACAAGCTCAATCAGAAGTGCTCTAGATGGCAGCTGAGAAGCCTGCAGCTATCTTGTCAGATCAGCTTTGACAGTTTGTAATGTGGCATTCAATACCTTCTGGCTGACCTCACTACCATGTATGTCCATAAATAGAAGTTGCAATATCGTCAAGTGGAGCATCCTGTTTCTATTAGTTAAGGCAGCTTTCTCTGTAACAATAGAATAACTGTTAAACACGAGTGCCTAACATTGAACTCACAGTGCCTGTGGATTAGCTACCCTCTTACAGTGCCCATACATTAACAACTCACTTAAGCTGAGTAACTGCAGTTTACGTATTCTGCAGAATTAACGGCCAGAAAAATCTTGTTTTATTGACTTAAACCTTTCACTGAGGGTAAAGGCTTAGAATGAAAAGTGAAAGAGACAGAAAACTAGAAGAGTTATTTTCTAGAACTAGAGAGAAATAAGGCAGAGGACACAGTTTAGAACACAAAAAGCCTTTATGTTTGAGAAGTTAACCATTTCAACAGAAGACTCTGAAGTATTTTTGCAACTACTGTTACATTGGACAGTTGAGGATACAAAACTGCTGACAAAAGCAACAGTGGAGAGCACCAAATTAAGAAACGCATGCTTCAGCACAACTGCACAGATTTCTCCTCTCAATGAACACTTGCCTGCTCAGACTACACTTGACTTCTACCCATTTCCACTTCATGCCTCATCCTCCTCTCCTTCCTCTTCAAATTCACCCTGCTCATCAGC